CTTCTGCTTCATTCTAAGGTGATTTGGGGAAAGCACTAGTCATTCAAGGAAGGTACATTTTCTTTTTTCAATTAATTTGTACAGTTGATTTATATTTTGCAGCACTGAATTTCCACATAACAATATCTTCGGTGTTTTTGTTTTTTTTTTTAGTTGCAATAAACGTGTGAATATATATATACACATACGTGCACGCACGTGTATGTGTACGTGTATATATATATATATGCTACTACTACTAGTACTTTCTATCCCTGCCTTCTTCACATTCATTTTTCTTCTCTGAAAGTCAAAAGCTTCAATTTTTTTTTTATCATTTTAGTAATTAACATGGTTTTTTCTTTGGACAATTTTCTCCCACCTCTTCCAAAGGATTCTAGCTATTCTCATTTTTTACTTTGTTGCATTTTGGTTTCTACTCTATATGTAATGAAAATATTTAATGTAGGTAGAAAGTACACCTAAGTAATCTGTGGAAAAACCTTTCGTCAGGCGTATTCTTTTTTTTCTCATTCTAATAAGTCATTCGAAGAAAGCAGAGTCATTTAAAACAAGGTACTTTTTTTTTTTTTTTTTGAACAGATTTTACAAGGGGCTGGGTTCGAACCCCAACCCTAGGGGAGGAGGGAATGCACCATGAGTGGTTATTGCCACTTGGCCCGAAGGGCTCGGTGCCTTTTAATTTTTTATTGAATAAATGATTTAACAAATTATTTTCTAACATATTTTTTGTCTTGGATTTTACTCTTCCGCTTCCATAGGATTAAATTCTAGATGTTGGTTATCTGCTTACTGCATTTTGGTTTCTACTTTAATATATATATGTAATAAAAATTGATCTTGGAAGTATAGCTAACCGGATAGTACATGCTCAGGAGCTATCTGTGGAGAAGCTATAACAATATTGTTATCCTTTCGTTCGTCGCTCAGAGTCATTTAGGCGACGAAAATTTTAACAGGTGCAGAAACCTCTCAGAGCAAATCAACTGTTTTCACTGCAGAAGCCTTTCTCAGTGAATCAACTGCGTTTACTGCAAAATTGAAAACTGCTGTTCTAGTTATCATTCCACTGTCCCTGCCGTGTTCTCTTCATTGCCTCTTATTTTCTAAGGTAAATGATAGCAACTGCTCTCATTGCAAAATTAACAAGTTTTTCTCCCCATTTTTATATCTACTAACTTACCATCTCGCATTTTATTATCTATTTGATATGCAGATAGGCATCATTTCATTTGAGATATAATCTACTGCATTTT